CCCCCCCACCCCAAGTTTCTCCGAGACGGCTGGAAGGGGGTAAGGACTGATTCGTGGGGTCCCCTTTTGGCGCCCCGCCTTGAGGACCCTTTCTGCTCCCTGCCCCATTCGGAGGGGGCGGAAGCTCCCCGGGGTGCAGGGGCCCAGGACTGGCTCTCCTTCCACAGCCCCGCTCCCCGGACCTCTCCACCCGCAGGGCTGCGCTCCGACGGCGCCGCCTGTGGCCCCGGGGGAGACCTCTCCGCCACGGCTTCTCCTCGGCCATCGCCAACTCCTCTGTTGCTGGCAAGATTGTCAACAAGTCGTGGCGAAGTAGCCCGGCACGTTTCCTTCAGAGAAGCTGCCCTGGCCCCACGGCCCCCCGCAGGCCTGCGACGCCGCTCTGCTCATCCCTGGAGGCGGTGGCAGGCGCTTTGGCTGGTGGGCTGGCCTCCCAGAAGGGCTCCCGAGGCCTGGGCAATCCGATTCTTAGGTTTGGCGAAGGTACCGGGGGCTCAGGACCGAGAGTGGAGCGTCTGACACCATAGTTCATTCGCGGAACGAACGTTTCCTTGGTTCCTTTGCCCAGTCTCTGTGGGCACCCTTCAGTCACCCCCATAAACAGGTACTCTAAGTATAAACTGTTTGCTCTGCAGATCAGCTTTCAGACCGATTTCCTAGTGACCCCCTTTTTGTGGAGAGCTGACCTAAGGCTCTCCTCNAGAGCTCACCTAAGGCTCTCCTCAGTCTAAGCTCTGCAGATACATCTGAACCCCAAGAAATGCCGTGACAAGCATGAATGAGGCCCGGTGCCTTCCCTTCAGCAACTTGGGGTCTGATCTGGGACACAGATAATAAAAGCAGCTATTCCGCTGTCCCCTGGCATGCGGGGTGAGAAAGGGACCCACACTGAAAGGGGGACAGAAGAATGAAGACTCGAAAGAGGGTCCCTAAAGGTTTCTAGGATCAGGTGGCCTGCTGGGAGTGGGCGTGTATTTCAAGTGTTGGGAACCTCCCTCTTGGGCAAAGACCTGGAGATTCTTACTCAATTGCTCATTCATTCACTGTTGCATTTCATACATAGTGTCTCTGAGCACCAACTAAGGGCCAGGCAGAGCATTAGATGCTGGGTACACGATAGTGGACAAATCAGATCTTGTCCCTGCCCTAAAGGGGCCCGCGGTGGAGGGAGGAGAAATGGGAAGTCCCACGCTATGGAGAGTGGGATCTGAGTCCCCCAGCAGCTATCTGTAGGGGCTGACCTGAAAGTGTGGGGAAGTTAACTCCCTGTGGTATGAATTACGATCAATAAGAAAAAAGGGTCCTGGAAAGACCTGGTAGGTAACCCAACTCCCGTTCTCCAGCCATGGTTCCGTATGACTGACTCAAATCTGTCTGTGTGTCTGAGCGATGGGCTGTGCTCCCTGGCAAAGCGTGGCCTGCTCAGTAAGCGTACCCCATTTCCTTTGCTTTCCTTCCTTCCCTGCCTCTTCCTGCTCACTCCTCCTGACCTGGGATTGCGCCCCCCCAAAATGCGTTATTACATACACTTCGTTTCAGGTTGCCTTTTCAGGGCAACCTAGGCTTAGAGAAAGTTCTTAGGGGTTTCATGGTTACATGCATAGAATGAAGTGGGACGCCATGGCCACCAGGATACTTCACATCAGAAACATCTGTAGGACTGCAGCGATTCAAAGTGGGGCTCCTTGAGCGTCAGAGGACTTTCCTCAGGCCTCCGCTTGTCTGAGAAACAGGCACGTTCCAGGTGGGAGGGGCTCGCGCCCGTGGAGAACGGCAGCTCCCGAGTCAGCGGCTTGGTTCCCTAGCTGCAGAATCTTTAGAGAATTTCCCAACCTGTAAAAGCTCAACTCTTTCCCTGGTCTAGCAGGAATTAGAATAGTATTTAGATATAATTATTCTTAAAAGGATTAACTGAGATAATTCAGATAAACACTTAGCCTGGCTCACAGAGACTGCTCAGAAAAGGGCGTTTCTGGTTATTTTGAAGGATAGAGGTGCAAAAATGCTGCCCTATTGCAACAGTGCTAATTGGCTTCAGGGATCTTTTTGAGGAAAACAAAAGGAATGCTTTCTGACCAGTAAAGGAACATTCATTATCGACCTATGAAATTATGCAGGCTGATTATGTTTTGAAACGACATTGGTATTATCCGAATTGTTCATTACTGCAGCTTGAATTAAATATGTAATTGTCAATGTGATGTCTTACAGGTCAGCTGTGAATCTCTCCAGAGAGAATGTTTTTCTGACTGACCAGGTGTGGGGCATGGGGAACCCCAAGCCTCTCCTGGGCTCTGTTCAAGACGCCACTTGTCCAGTATTCTAAGAGCTGAACAGGATTCCTTACAGATTTGCCTTGCCCCAAACTCTGAGTTAGCTCTTTCCCCAAGAACATCCCCCTTACTTCTTGAACCTCAGCTTCTCAGTATCTCCTACTAACCCTCCTCTGGCCTCCTTGCTATTTTGCAAACCCTCAGACCCGAGCCTCGGCCTGGCTGTTCCCTCTGCCTGAATGCCCTTCCCTTGATATCAGTAGGGCCCATTCCCTCACCCATGTCAAGTCTTGATTCACAGGCCACTTTTATAACAAGACCCACCACGACCACCCTCCTTGCTTTGTTTTATTTTTGCTCCCTGGTATTTATTGCTTTCTAATACTTTATTTTACTCATTTCCTTTGGTCGGTATGTGTCTCTTCTCACTAGAATGTGAGCTCCATGAGGGCGGGGGCTTGGGCTCCCTGTTCATGGTCCCGGGCAGGCACTTTGTGCCCCCGCCCCCATCCCCTCAGCCCAGCTCCGGTTTCAGCACAGCTGTGATGGACAGTTCCTTCGCCTGCTGGGATCCCCCTGCTGTCCACCCCCCTCCCAAGCTGCAGCATCTCTCTGCTCTTCTGCCTGAGAGCTGAGGAAGCCCACCTAGCAAGCAGAAACCAGGAGAGGAGGGGCTTGAGGCCTCCAGAGCAACCTGAACAATAGGGTGGGGTTGTGGACACACGCCCCAGCCTCTCCTCTTTTGAGGACACTTCTGAGGCGAATTCTTTACAGTTCCTTGGGGGTTCCCAGTGGAATGAGGCCCATTGGGCCACAGCGGAAACTGGCTCCTTAACAGCCTTAACCAGCTCCTCCCTCCTCCTCTGAGCTCACCTCCCAAATGGATCACGTGCATGAGTCCTTGTTTTATGCTCTGCTTTTGGGAGAATCCCAACGAAGAGGCCACCGTATTCCAGAGCCTAGGACGGTGCCTGACCTGTGCTGGCCCAGTACCTGTTTGCTGAGTGAATGAGCAGAAAGAGAGACAGTTTACAGAGTTTTACATTTTGCATCTTGCCTTTTGATGAAATGTTTGGGTGACTTTTTATCATAAGGAGAACTTGTTGAACTACATTTTTTCTTGTTTACACTAGGATTTTCACAGAATGACTTCTGCCTGGAAACCTGTCTGTTTTAAGCTTTGCGGATTTTTCAGGGAATGAGGATTTTGCCATTTACTTTAGTCGGAAATGTCAGAAGCATCCCGGAGCTTGGCGATCTCTTGCTGACACCCGCGTTGGCCAGTCCAATGCTCAGCGGCTGTTATCACTTTCCAAAAAGCACACCTGTCTCAGAGTATAATGTAGAAGGATTAGTTTGGTCTGATAGCCCCTGAAACGTGGCTGAGGCAATCCATGCTTATTAGGCCCTCAATTAACATGTATAGAATGCAGACTATGCACCGAACATGAGACGGGAGACCAGAACCGCCTGCTTCCCTCCAGGTGCTCCAGGACTGGGGGCGGGGGGACAGACTGGGCATGGGGATGGGGAAGAGATGATTATAAATATGCTGTGAAGAGCTGTGATAGACGTGACACAGGCTGCAGACTTGCAGGAGGAACCCGGTGTTTTTAGCATCTTGGCACAATTGTATTTTCTACTTGAGATGGGCCAGACTGCGGTTTTCTGCACACGATTGCTGTTTATTCCTCCCTGCCTTTGCACACGCAGTTTCCTCTACCTGGGATGTTTTCCCTCTGTCTTCCTGGCTAGGCCCTAGCTATCCTTCAAATCCCAGCCCACATCACTTTGCCCAGGAAACATCGCCTCCCCTACCCCACCACCCCACCAGGCTCATCTCGGCC